ATATATATATATATATATATATATATGTATATGTATGTATGTGTGTATATGGGGAGTGGTGGCGCAGAGTTTAGAGAAGGTGGGCCTGTGATCGGAAGATTGCCGATTCAAGACCCAGTACCAACAACATCAAAAATGTGGGTGGGGTAGGTTAAGAACCCACCCTGCCCCACCCTCATTCATCCCACCCTGGGCCCTTGAGCAAGGCCCTTGACCCCCACAATCTGCTCCTCCGGGTGTCCTAGATAGCAGCTCTCTGCTCCACACAGGGCTGTGGTAGCTCAGTGGTCTGGTTGAGTCAGGAAGGGCATCCAGTTTAAAAATAATTGCCGTCTTTGTGCGACTTAGTTCGCTGTGGCAACCACTAACGCAGGGCGCAGCTGAAAGAAGAAGAAGAAAAAAAATATATATATATACAGCTAAATTGTAAAGTGATGTAGAAACTTAAAAACAGGAACATGTTTGTGTTGGTTTTTTGCCATGAACTTAGCAGATGTTTGAAGCCACTTTGAGGTCAAGGTCAAGAGTCAGATCTTTTTGCAAGGTGTTCCAGGATACAGGAGCAGAGTAAGAGAAGGTCCTTTTGCCTAGTTCGGTCCTCACTGAGGGAACACTGTAGGTAATTATGTCTTGAGAGTGCACGCTGTACCTGCACTGATAAAGTGACATGTAGGAGGAGATACTGTATATGAAGGCAATAGACCAAGAATTGATTTAATGATGAAAATGTACCAGTGTGAGAGTCTGCGTGAAGTTAATGATGACCAGTTAACCAATGAATACAGGGTGCAGTGATGGATACGGTAGTTACAGCCAGTTATGAATCTTAGCGCACCATGATAGGCAGCGTCCAACATCTGCAGGGTGCTTGTAGGGATATTCATTTAAATAATATCACCGTAGTCAATGAAGGTAAGGAAAGTCGCAGTCACAAGGCGTTTCCTAGCATTCAGAGTTAGACAGGATCGATTTCTGAAAAAGAAACCCACTTTTACATTCAGTTTCTCTACCAAGTTTTTGACATGAGGCTTAAAGGAGAGATGCAAATCGACCAAGATACCCAAGTATTTTTAAGAATCGACAAACTCAATAGGAACTCCATTCAAAGATAAAAAAGAAGGAAGAACTGCTGGTAAGGAAGAACTGCTGGTACTGACTTCCTGTTTGAAAACAACATTCTTTTGGTTTTATCAGCATTTAACACAAGTTTGAGATGGAACAAATCAGAATGGATGATGTCGAAAGCAGACTAAAAGCTGGAAAACCTTAGCAACTGTTCTAGCTTGACAATAAACAACTGTGTCATTGGCATAGAAATGTAAGGATGCATCAGAAATGCTCTGACCTACATTAATTATGTAGATTATGAAGAGGGTGGGTCCTAAGACTGAACCTTGTGGTACACCACTGTTAACAGTTAAGATAGCTGCAAGAAGTACAGTTATGTTGAACACATTGCCTCCGATCTGAGAGATAATTAGAGATCAATGGTGTGATCTGAGAAACCAATTTCTGAGAGCTTATGACATAAGATGTCATGGTCCACAGTGTCAAAAGCTTTAGGCAGGTCTAAGTAAAGTGCAGCACAATAATCCTTAGCATCCAATGCTTCAACAACATCATTAAAAACCTTCAGCAAAGCAGTCGTGCTGTGTTGTTTCCTGAAACCAGATTGATGGGGAGATGAGATGTTAAAAAAATCCAAATACTTATTGACTTGAGAGTTTATCAGTTTTTCTAAAACCTTAGCAAGAATATAGAGTTTAGAGATTGGTCGATAGTTGTTCAATATTAGAGTTGCATTCTGGTCCAAGTAATCTGACCCAGCCCCAGCCCTTAGCCATCATCTTCAAACCCCACCCGATCTGACGAATTAACAGTAATTACAGGTCTGAACACGAAAACCCCCAAGACATTTTTAATTAAGGTTGTTTTCACACCTGATAGTCCGGTAGACTCGGTTCGGTTGGGGACCAATATTTATAACATTTTGTTTACATTTGAGCTGGTGGAACGAAATTATGTACACACAGTCCCAGTTACATCCAACAATAAAATGTAAAAGAAAAACAGTAATAAGATCTAAGATATGAACTAAGAAAAATATCAACTAAATATACATCAAGCACTAGTAACAGAAAAACATTACGCCGAAAAGCAGCATGAACACGAGTCTGTGTGAGTAGATGAGCATGCATGAATACAGCAACATGAAACAGATCAGCAGCAACATGATGTGATTTTTCACAGTAATTATCCTGGTTAGACATTCATAAGTTTAACAGCTTCAGGGTAGAAGCTGTTCCTCGGTCTAGTGGTTCTACACTTAATGCTCCTCAACCTCCTTCCTGAGGGGAGCGGGGCATCAAGTGTGTGTGCTGGGTGAGTGGGGTCCTTCATGATGCAGGTGGCCCTCTTCCTGCATCTGGAGGGGTAAATGTCTGTGATGGTGGGGGGACTGACTCTAACAGTCTTCTGTGCAGCCTTCACCACTCTCTGCAAAGCTTTTCTTTCTGCAGCTGTGCAGCCTCCATGCCACAAGTTGATGCTGGAGCACAGGATGCTCTCCACTGCACACGTGTAGAAGGAGGTGAGGACTGAGCTTCCCAGACCAGCTCATCTCTGCCGTCTGCGGAAGTAGAGTCTCTGATGAGCTTTCTTGGTCAGGCTGGTAGTGTTGTTGCTCCAGCTGAGGTTGTCATTCAGGTGTACACCCAAGTACTTGTAGCTGGAGACCACTTCCATCACAGATCCTTCTATGTTCGAGGGGGACAGGTGTGTTTGTTCCTTCTGAAGTCCACAAACATCTCCTTTGTCTTCTTCACATTGATGTGAAGGTTATTCTCTTTGCACCAGCTCTCCAGATGTACCACCTCCTGCCAGTAGCTGGACTCATCATTGTTTGTGATGCATCCCACCACCACTGTATCATCTGCAAACTTTACAATATGACAGCTTGGATGAGTAACTGCACAATCATATGTGAACAGAGTGAACAGGAGAGGACTCAGCACACATCCCTGAGGAGAGCCAATGCTGAGGGTTATGGTAGAGGAGGAAAAGTTGTGGATCCTCACAGACTGATTGATGTCTTCTTGTTAAGAAGTCTAGGACCCAGTTGCAAATGGAGGGGCTTAGTCCTAGTGTGAATAGTTTGTCCATCAGGGTTTGGGAGATCATGGTGTTGAAGGAAGAGGTGAAGTCCACAAAGAGCATACAGACATAGGAGTCCTTCTGCTCCAGGTGGGTGACAGCAGTGTGGACCACAGAGGAAATGATGTCCTATGTTGATCAGTTCTCGCGGTATGCGTACTGATTAGGGTCCTCGTTGATGTTGATGGTTGTTTTGATGTGGGTCATGACCATTTTTTCTAAGCATTTAGCGACTATTGGGATGAGGACCACTGGCCGATAGCCATTCAGACCATTTTGTTATTTGTTACTTATTTGAGGTTTTATATTTATTTATTACCAGGAGCTGTCAATTAAAATGATAATTACAGCTGTGACAGATTATGTGGACTCGTTTTACCGAGAAATCTATGAGAAGCTCATTGAAAACGGTTGGACCTGCCTCTGTGTGCGTTATTTTTATTGTTTTTATTTTATACATTTTATTACATGGTGTTGAAAAGGTGAATAGGTGCTGCTCATTACAACTCAAGAAGAACCATGAATACTATTATCAAGTTCAGCTTCACAGCATGTGGCGTCCAATCCACGACGGATGCAGTCTTCCAGCTGGATGACAGACTTTTTTTTCGAGCAGACCGTTGCAGCGAACTAACGGGGAAATCACGGGGAAATCACGGGGAGGCGGAGTGTGCATTTACGTGAGTAAAAGTTGGTGCACGAACTGTACTGTTGTAAATAGCTCAAGCTCGAAGGCTTTGGAGCAAATAACAGTGAAATGTTGGCCACATTATCTACCCCGCAAGTTCATGGTGACTTTTATCAATGTCGTTTACATTCCTCCAGATGCTAATGCTAATGAATCACTACAGGAGCTACATGATACCATCAGCTCGCTGCAGAGCAAACACCCCGAGGCTCTTTACGTTGTAGCCGGAGACTTTAACCACGTGAATCTAAAGGAATGTATCCCAAGCTTAAATCAACATGTGACAATTCTGACACGTGGAGACAAGATGTTGGACCGTGTTTACACGAA